CCATAGTCATTAGCTAACTATGGTATTATAATTTGGGGTAATAAAGCAATAACTGATAGTTTGTTTAGCACAAAAGAAATGTATACAAACAATGTGTTATGTTAGTATCTTGTTTACCTGCATGTTTTATTTCCAGTGAACACCGGTAATAAATCCTACAAATACAGAGAAACCAGATTGACTCGTACTGGTCAATTGTCCTTATACATATATGCTCCCTGCCTTTCACAGTTTTAGGGTATTGAATCCAAGGTCACATTACAGATAAAAGTTTACCCACCTAAGCTTTTACTATTTTCGTACATAAAGTAACCAACTAAATCTATAAACATAAATAAATGTATAAGTCTATAGGTTTATTACCTGTCAGGTAGCCCATGTCCGATGCCACTGTGTGACTGAATACCTGGATTGCAAATTTCACTTTCATTTTGGGAATTGTTTCTGGGATCACATGGCTTTCTGTGAGTTTCGGGATTAAACGTATTCCCTTGTAGCCATGATTTTTCTTGGGCAAGATGTGCCCATTTTGCACTTTTTTTGTTTTTTACTTTTTAAATGCGGCGGGTCGTAGAGAGGAACAATTTCATCATTGTTTATTAAAAATATATTATCTGATGGGATTTCTCCCCGTCACAGGACAACTCCCTGAGTTTCTTGCAGTAATAACTTTATGGCATGCCTGTTATTAGTGCCTTGGTCGCACACGGTTGCAACGACGACTAATCCGGCCTTCTGTACTTTGAAATAATTTCTTTTAGTTGCTTAGTCAACTCTGGTCCTGTTGTTGCACTCGATGAAAAGCTACATGCAAGTGCTTGCTTATAATTTTTTAGAAGTCCCCCTAACATAAACACTTGCACATGATCTGAAATTTCTGGCACTGATTGTTGCCCATTTGACACAAATCCAATAATTATAAATAATATGACACATAATTCGCTTTTTGCTTTCAATTGCGAGAAAATATTTTTATTTATACCCGGCTGAATGCCGCATATAGAGTGTATGATCTATGATTTAGGGCTTTGCTTCATTATTACCACAGCAGTCACTTTCTCCTCCATAGTGAAGGCGACCTTTTGCCTTTTTTGAAAATTCGTGAAATTGCGAAAGAACTTAGATGGAAAAAAAATAAACGAAAGAATATTTTTGCTGTTGTGGCGGCTTTGATAAAAAGATTTTGTAAAAAACCGCGAAATTTTATAATTATATCGCCATTTACGAAGTTCACGAGGCCTTTTTATTGTTCGTTAGAGGAGCGATAAATTCCCCAAACTGTTTTCCATAATTTAAAGGATTTGAAGCAATGTTGTTAGCTGTCTTAATTTCTTTTTTGGGTTGGTTTTTTTAACTTTCTTTTGATTTTGGTTGTAATATTTATTTAATTAATTTTTTAAAACGTTTTTTTTTTCTAGTCATGAAAGCAAGTTTTACAACTTTTTTTACTAGGATTTGTTTTCTCTTTGTGTCATAACAGGATGGAAAAAGAAATGGTATCATGACTGAAGTTTCCATCCTCTAAGCCTTAGACTATGGAAATAAATTCTAATAAATTCTTTTTTATTTCCATCCTCTAAGCTCTAAGCTGAAGACCTTTATGAACTTTCAATTGAGTGTTGTGGATTCGCTCTGGACCTTTTGGAGGGAAAAGTTTAGTTTTTATTTTGATTTTCAATTATTTTGTGAAATCTAGTTTAAAGTGGAATAGGATAGTGCTATTGTGCCTTAATCGAAGTTTAAAACGCGAAATTATACGAATCTCGAACTAGAATACCCGTATCGGCCCGTTTTAAGGAATCCCGAGTCAATCCAAGCACGCCGCCTCAAATTGCCTATCCTCTTTGTGGCGGCCATATTTACAGAAACATAATTAAACTTCATGTTTAGGCTGATGGCTTTGCCAAAGCCTTAATAAAAAAAAAATTGAGTGTTGTCAATGTCATTTGTATTTGGTTGCAGTTTTTATTGGAATGGAAAAAATAGAGAGGAAATAAAATAAAGGAAATCTTCGATAAAAACTATTTGGCGTTTTTACTGACGTTGGCAATGGTCGCCCTAATTTTTATATTAATCTTATAAATTTCCGGTGTCGGTCCAATTATTATCTTCCAATTTCTAATTTGTGGTCCAATCAATTCTCAGAGTACGTACAAAATGCTCTTCGTACACTTACATGCTTTTAGTCACAAATAAAGATATAGTTATTACTTAACTAACGTGCCCTATGTATTAGGTACCTACTAAATATTTATTTAAAGACTAATATTATATGTAGTATATAGGCGTAATTTAAATCAACGAAAAATTAATAATTGGCGTTTCTAACTCACTGGTGTTTTGCGCAAATGTTTTGAAATGACTTCCTCCCTAAACGAGGAACTAGTCCTTAGCTTGATTACTAAGGTCAATTTACCACTAGTATTCCGTGAATTTGTTAAAAACTGGGAGATTTGTCAGTGGAGTGAGGAAAAATGGTGTTTGGAGTTTGGAAACCGTGAAATACCATTTCGATGCATGAAGAGAAACTTTATTTCGGAGGAGCCTTGCTGGGAGCGACATTGTAATGTGCAGAAAATGACATTTAAGAGTTTTATTGACCAAATACCCTCCAGCACTGAATGGATGTACTTTGATTATAAATATCTGCACCAGTGGTTTACCAATGACTCTGAGTTATGCAAGGTAATGTATGCCTGTTAAAAGGTGTGACTTATTTATAATATGGAATCTGTTTTTAGTATTTTTTTTATTTTGTTTATTTATTTTCTACAATTTTATTTATTTGATTTCTTCACACACCTAAACCTACATTGTTTGTCTGGATGCTGCACAATCCTCTTATAAATCTATAAAATAGACAACAGATAGTTACTTAGAGTATAAAATTGACAAAAAAAAATTAAAAGTGCCTGTTTCACTATATCAGTATGAAATAATTTTGAATGTCAGTAACAAAAAACAAAATGATAAAGAAAATGCAACACAACAGAACCAGTTTTTTATTTGCATGATATCGCCCCAAGCTTGTGCTTTTAGTGCGTGCTCCAACTTACATATTAAATTAACTATCTATTAGATAATAATGTTACTTATTAACATGAAGGAAGTTTGTCAGGAACATAGCTAGTGGAAGGCTGTAGACTCTGCCTACCCTGATGTGAAGTATATGTATGTTCTAATAAGTATTGTATATACCAATGTATGATCTGGTACATACCATCATTTTATTATACAAATTTAGTGATATGGCAGATAAGTGTAACGTGTAAGTTACATGGAATCACTGTGGAATATTGAATTATTTTAAATTATTGAGCTATGCTCTAAGCTTCCACAGGCGGTATGTGCTATATTACATTCTTTTTGTTTTCATAAAGGAAGACACTGAAGGTCACTTAACACTGTTTTACCAAAAATATGTTGTGCGTACATTATTTGTTTTAATAATTGCCTGTAAGCGGATAGTTGTTACAATCACTAAAGTGAGATAGTAAAGAGCTGTTCAAGAAAAAAGTTTTGAAAATCATAAAACATGATAAAGCAAAAATAACTCTTGACATGTAAAAACTGTCTCAAAACATATATACATGTTTGTGTTGCATTTCTATATTCTAAAAGCAGCCATTACATTTTTTTTGAATTTCCTTAATAACATATTATTATGTGCTTTGACTCATTAAATAATATATGAAAATACACTGCCCCTTTCACCCTAGTCAGATCCCCACTTTGACATCCGCTATTCAACAGTCATACTAAGACATTGATTTTTTTATTTCAAATAATTAACAAAAAAAAATATCAATGTTTATTTACAAAGACCAACTTTTAACTCATTTGAAATCAGTGATATTTTATTATATCAGTTGAATTGAAGATTCTGCTCTGATTTGCCAGCCTGAATCCTAACAATACCTATCCCTAATACTTAACCTAACTTAGTTGTTGTAATCTGAGATATGTGGTTTAATATATTCTTCATGCGGGTAAAGAAAAGCAAATATTATATTATATATATCTTTCTGTAAATTATTGTCATAAAATGTAATTGTTATAGGCACTATCATGGAAACAGTTTGGTTTCCCTGATAAAGGAGCTTCAGACACTACTTTGTGGGTTGGAAGTAAAGGGGCCCACACACCAGCACACCAGGACACTTATGGGGTGAACATTGTTGCTCAAGTCTTCGGAAAGTAAGCACAGCAAGGTATGAGAGTGTATGTGTGGATAAATATTTATCCACACATACACTCTCATACCGGTGTTAACCCTTATAGGTCCTACAGTTGGCTACCATATTTGCTTTACACATATGCATTATCTAGATTTCCTTGTCATGTTTTTCTTAGTTGCATACCAAAGTGGTCATCAATATCCAATTGTTTGTTTAAAAAAGGATTTGTTTGTTTTGATAACATTAAAAGTTACTTTCTTATTTGCAGAAAGCGTTGGATTTTTTTTCCACCAGAAACTGGATGTATGAAGGCTACTAGAGTGCCTTATGAAGAATCCAGCGTATACAGTGAACTCAATTTCTATTGTCCCAGTAATTTGGATGCTTTTAATGGTAATGGAATGGATTTTTATAAGCACACCCTCTTAGACATTGAAGTAAATATAGGAGGAAGGACTGAAAAAAACCTTTGGGGCCTCCATCCATTTATCAGTATTTTTTTTTATTTTAGTATTTGTCAGGGATGTAGGCCAGTTGCTTCTGAGCAACTGAATTGCTTGGCTTTGCTAGCACTTTAATTTCAAAACAAATGAGAAACTTAATTCTATGAAGGCATAAATTTTATTATCATAAATAATTATTAATGACATTAGGAGACACCAAATCTGAACACCCAATTTGCGAAATTTAAAATCACTAAGAGCTTTGAGATCACAAGTTCTGTTCTAAGGTGTTACTTGTCATTAGAGTGGGGTGGCTTCGTTGAGGACTTGTACAGCACTTAGCACTGCCACCTTTATTTGATATAATTTTTATATTTATCTTGTAATCTTTTCCATACTTTAATAGTAAATAATGCATGTGTTTTAATTGCACGCCATTTGATTATTTACGAAACGTAACTATGTGCGAATAGCTATAACTAAATAGCTGCTATACTTACACAATTATGCAGAATTATTATACGACATGTCGTAACTGAAAATGTAAGCCTTTTCTATTTTCATATTATTTATTTTGCTATTAAATGTTGCAGGTGTGATGGGTGCTCATATGGTAGAGCTCAGCGCGGGCGATGCGCTCCTGGTACCTCGTGGCTGGTGGCATTATGTGCAGAATATTGACCCACTCAACATTACGTTTAACATGTGGTTACCTCATGTTCGTATTTTTTCCATATATTATTATGATATTTAGTAACCATGGACTACACATTTCTTTTATGACTTTTTAATTATTAAATTGTAAATAATAACGATAACAAACGCATAATTTGTAACACAAGAATATGGAATATTATCATGAAGTAATACTGAATATTCGAGTGTAGTATCCTGAAACATTACCTATTTAATATTGCACAATAATATACTCCAATACTTAAATAAAACATTCCCACTGAAATTAGGTAGAGAAAATTAACCTGAAAATTACCCACCCCTATTTTTCAGGAAAAGGATAGTTCATCGCAAGTATCTGAAGCATTGATAAAAATTTTAGTTGCTCAAATTTGCAAGGACCTGCCCCACCAGACTGCAAGGCAGATTGTCAATCCTAATGAGGTATTTATTCTTAGGATTTATTTCTTATACTTCTACACTACAAATTATTAGCTGTATGTCAGATACCAATAAACTTATAAAATAAGTAAAATGTTAGGAGACTCAGCATACCTTGCTTGGTCACTGATATAATTCATTTAAATCGATTTTAATATCAAACGTTCGAAACAACATGTCTAAATATTGCACATAAACTCACGTACAGAGTCAAGAGCACGTCAAGCTTGACGCTTAAGATAAAAGTCCAACTCTGTGCCGTTTAGGATAAGAGCGGTCCAAAATTCAAAGTGTCAAGCTTGACATGCTCTTGACTGTACGTTACGGAATAATTATTATTTAGCGAAAAGAGTAAACTTTGAGCTGATGCACTTCACAACTGACAACTCAACTTAGTTAGCAACTCAATATTTTTACGGGTGTTACGATACTTTAAAATACTCACATTTTCAAAATTGAGTTTTGAGCATTACCGACGGGGTTCAGTGTGCTTCGTTTGCCGAAGGTGACCGCGTCACTCATAGCATGGTAAAATAAGAGAAGTATGGTATTTCCGTACCTTTGTTCGCGCTGTAATTTTTTACAGCGTGTCTTGTATGCACACATTCACATAATAATGAAAGGCGCGTTGGGACGACCAGCGTTATGCAACGCAAGTGCATCATGAGATTATGCGAACGTGTGCTTCCGTACACGACACGCGGTGGCTGCGCACATACACCAGTCACGCTGCTTCGTTTGTATGAGGTTACCATACTTGTTTTGTTATACTGTGCCCATACCATTTACACCTAGTCGCTTCAGTCGACTTTGACTGCGAACTACGGTCGTCAGACGACTCAATATTTACTATACAATAGTGATACTGCCCTTCAGATCTTTACGATGTAAAGTTCTGAGTAGAGCTGCAACTGCTATATACAGACGTGTTGCTTACCACCAGGCGCACGATTTGTTTGTCCCGTCACTCACACATTTAAAAAAAAAAATCCGAGACCACGCGAGAATTCTTGGGAAGACGCTCGACATAGCGATGGGCGAATCGAGTTATTGAACTCGATTAACTCGAGTTACTCCCACAACGAGTCAATTCGGGCTAGTTTTTTATGAACTTGAGCTAACTTGGTTCGGTACACTCCCCACCGCCCGAGCTGAATACTTCATTTATACAGCGCATCGGCTACTCGTTCCCACTCGACGGTCGGTTCGGCGACCTTCGGAGCACGCTTGAGTCGCGAGTGATGCAATGATGGGCGAGTCGAGTTAACTCTCTCTGTTAACTCGAGTTACTTCCACGAGTCAACTCGAGGCATTTTTTGTGAACTCTAGCTAGCTCGGTTCGGTTTCCGAATACAGCTCACGGGCTACTCGTTCTCACCCGGCCGGTTCAGCGACCTTCGGAGCACGCTCGAGTCGCGGTCGGCCGGCCGATCGTGCCCAACTTGGTGAATCGCCGCCGCGCCGGTTCGAGTTCTACTCTCGACTCGCGGTTGCTCTGTCAGACACCGAGTCGAGTTAACTCAATTTGCAACTCGAGCTAGCAGTGGCGTCAACTTGAGTAACTCGAGTAGAAAAAATATAACTCGTCCCATCGCTATCGACCCGACCAGTTTTTTGGCTCGTATCTAGTGTGTACTTTAAAGAATTGACATGAAGAAAAAAATCCATGACAATGTAAATTGAGCCTTATTGAGCCGACTGAATAAATTAATCAAGACAAATTCATAATGATTACTGAAAAAATGCAATATACAGGGTGTAACCGCAAGGTGTAGTCATATTAAAGGAGCCAAACCTATACTTGATCTAGACCCTCTGTGCAAAATATCAAATAAAAATAAGTGACTTTTAATGTTGATATAACTTTAATTATGTTTGTATAAATAGTGATTGTCCGAAACAACCACTGCGTCACAACTCTATTGCTAGTTACGTTACTACGACTTCACAAATTCATTAATGAAACCTGGGCGGAGCGGCGAAAGAACAGCTGACTACAATTGAAATGCCACTGTAAAAACATGATTTGAATATGTTGATAACACGTTAATATTAAGTAACAAAATCTTTAAATACCTAGAAAAATCGAATTATTTCTAACAATATTATTTTATACCATACCTAGGTACGTACTTATTTACATACAATTTAAAGGATATTTATTTACTTATTAAGCCCGTAGTTACGCACGCCTTCATCGTATACACATTCTACATAATTTTGTATTAATACATTTATTTACGACAATTTTACAATAGTGGATACTTTTTTAATTGGTACTTACCTACTGTGCAATTCATACACGTTTTAATGAATTTCCTACGAATTGTAATTCACTGTTGTACAATGTACGAAATATTGACTTGTTTACGATAATTTTGAATAATAAGTACAATCACTACACGCACTGCTGGCACATTTCACACATTTACAGGTAAGGTTCAAAATGCCGACCTCCATGCAATATGCATATTTCCGTGCGTCGGTACAGAGACTGCTCTACTCTTTGAAGCATCTGCCGAGTGATTTGACTAAACGCCATTTCGATCCGCTGCCTCATTTCTTCTGCGCTTTCACAGGACTCCGCATAAACAATATTTTTATATGACCCCACAAAAAAAATCGAGCGGTGTCAAGTCTGGGGACCACGCTGGCCAGGGTACAGGACCTCCCCGCCCAATCCACTGCGGGAGACGGTCGTTCAGATGGGAACGTACATTTCGAGCAAAATGTGCGGGTGCTCCATCGTGCTAGAAAGTCATCCCATGTTCCATCACGAGTCTCACGTATTGTGTCACTGGCAGGGCCATCAGAACGTCACCTAAGTCTTCTGTTAGGAATCTTAAATAATTGGCCCCATTCAGACTTGCCGGCAAAAACACTGGACCGATGACGGCACAACCTATTATACCAGCCCACACGTTAATCCGCCACTGGTGTTGAAAATTTGATTCCCTTGATACGCGGGGATTCAAATGAGTCCAAAAATGTTCATTATGCATATTGATAATGCCCGCACGCGTAAATGACGCCTCGTCTGTCCACAGTACCGACGAAGCGAAGTCGGGAGACCTCCCAACCTGGTCGCGGTACCAGCGGCAAAATGCCAAACGTAGATCATAGTCCGCTTGTAACAGCTCCTGCGTTCTTTGAAAATGGTATGGGTGCTGGCCATCATCCCGTAGCACACGCCACACACTCATATGGTTCACACCACCAAAGGCTGCCGCAGCACGACGAGTACTTGTCTTTGGATTGCCGAGAAAATGTTCCAAAACATCTGCCTCGAATTCTGGGTCTCGTGAACTCGGCCGGCCTTCAGAACTGGAACCACGGAACGATCCACTATTATGAAGTCTCATAACCATCTTCCTGAAGCATTCCACAGCAGGAAATGGTCGACGTCGATTTTCTGGGACGCCATCAATAAACTTTGCCCAATAAATTTGGCGAGACTGGCGCAAGCTCCCATCGGCTGCGCCTACGCACAACATCATCTCTTAGTAATCACTATCGCTTAAGCGTGACATAGTTTAAATAAACACAAAAACAAGACACAAACAAAACGATGACACCTATTTAGTCCTCACAACGCAAACGGCAATTACAGACTGTTACAAAAAATTAAAAAATAGCACCTCTGCCTCAGCGGCGGCACATCAAAGGACGCCGACTGAAACGCAAATTTTGGAATATAGGGTAACGTTTTCATAATGTACCTACAGGGTGAAATTAAAATTATTACCATCCTTTTGAAATAAGACCCTTCTCCTGATACAAATTACATCATTACATACACATTAAACGAATACCTATATCCTACGTCTACGACCTTCAACGTTGCACTGCATACGCCTTTGTTTGTAAACAAGCTCTGACCATCACCCGTACCACTTCCACATAATGCAAGAACTGACTGAGTGATTACGGATATACTGCACTAAGGAGGCAGTCACCCATCGGAAACTCACGACGTCCGAAACGAAAGCCTAACACACTAACCACTACACCATGGAGGCAGTCGACTATAGGAATCAAATCCAC